ATTCATTTTTTTTTTAGAATAAATCGCCAACCCTCGAATCCATTAGGACAAAGGTACTGGATAATGATCTCATTCCAAAAATGAGCAAAGAGAAGTTGAGGAAAATAATAAAAGAAGATTTAAAATTTATATATGCCAAATGATCCCGTAAATCTGTCTTAATAGAAAGAGAAGATATAGTTTCATGGCGACGGAGATATCTTCGCTCTATAAGAGAAATGCATTCTGCTCACAAAAATATGTATTATCTGGACGAAACGTGGGATTATCACAAAGACATGGACGCCCAACGCTTTTTCTTATCACAGCCGATTAGTAGAACAGCTGCCAACTATGACCACCAGAAAAGCAGACATGCAGAGTTGGTTAAGTTAAAAAGGAGTTCCATTTTCCGAGGACATGGTTAAGGCCGTGCTTATGAGTGTCATCGTGACAGATATCGCTAGTACGTGGTGGATACAATAGCTCGTGCTGAAGGCATCACCATTTTGAGACTTCCTCCTTACCATTGCAAGTTAAACCCGATAGAATTAATCTGGGCTCAAATTAAGGGTTACGTAGCTCGTGAAAACGTGACATATAAAATTAAGTCCAACGTTTATTAGAACTCGCAATGGAACGGATACGGAAAGAAAATTGGGCTAATGCTGTAGCCCATGTGATCAAGGAAGAAGAGAAAATGTGGAGATTGGACGGGATGATAAAAACTGTTTTTGACCAAATAATAATAGATTCAAGTGTGACTGGGGATTCCTCATCGGACGAGTCAATGGATTCTGAAACTTCATAAGCATAACATTTTTTGTAATTTTTTTTTTTTTTTTGAAGTACTGTATTAGGCATAATAAGAAAATGTAATCAGTTTTACCATTGACACCAGATAGCGCCACCTACTATAACAATTTTTAAGTAATTACCTATGTGTTTAAATAAATAAAAATATTATTTTGGTACGCCTCTGCAGAGTTGGTAAGAGGATTATCCATAGACAACGAATTCAGTTGAGGTTTGTACAACTATAATTTTAAAATATAATCAGGAGCCCAGAAACTCTTCTACGCTATAGAAAACTTTATCACTGAGATATATGTTGATATTCTAGTCCTAACTGCTGACTTGTTACCGCTCATATCTATCAGATTTTTCACCTTATTGAAACATTTTACACCAACATACTTTGGGGAATTTTGACCAATGAGAAGCCTGGAAAGGGGCAGATGAATATTTTCCTCATTCCTTGTATTATGTGTCATTCTTTAAAACGTATTTGGTCATTCTTTAAAACGTATTTTCATTGTCCTTTATAAACAATATCAGGTTCGAAATGTTGAGACAAGGTAACGTTAGTATTTTAGAATTTCGGAATAGTGGCTTACAAGACACTGAAGGGTGAGTTTTATTCATAGCTCTGATGATTTTTTTTTGGAACGAAAAACCCCTAGTATGTGAGTTGAGGATTCCCAAAATATTACTCCATATTGCATAGCTGACTGTACCAGTCCGAAATAAAGAATTCTCAGTACATCAGCTGATACTGTATCCCTCAGATTCCTAATAATGTATGTGATTGTGCTGAGTTTTGAATATAAAGTGGTGATATGGTTTTCCCATAAAAGTTTCCTATCAAGCACAACACCTAAGAACTTCATACTCTCTTTGCTTTCTATCGATTTTCCATTGACTGTTAAGTAGATATCATTATCAGGATTCATATTTTCTGGTAAGAATCGAATATGGTAGGTCTTAGCGGTGTTTAGTGTTAGTCCATTTTTACTACAATAGTCATTGATTTTCTTTGATGCCTCATTATCATTCTATACTAGTTGTTCATTATTTGTTCTGGACATTAAAATATTCGTATCATCTGCATAGAGAATGATTTGATCTGCAGCAACACAGGTGTTCTTTATGTCGCTCGTGAATATTATAAAGAAAAGAGGTCCCAGAATGGAGCCTTGAGGTACACCTTTATGATAACTTTCTCCTGTCTTGGATTTTATGGAATCTAATACAACAGTTTGTTTTCGATTGTCCAAGTAAGAAGTTGCCCAGTCTAGAGCAACACCACGAACTCCTATAGCTTCTAGTTTGAGTCTTGATAAGTTATGGTCTATAGTATCAAATGCCCGGCTTAGATCATAGAATAGGCCAATGAAATTTTTTCTTTCGTTTAGTGCTCTATATATGAATTCCAAACAGTCATAAATTGCAGTATTAGTTGATTTATTTTTTCAAAATCCGTTCTGAATGGATGGCATTAGTTGGAAGTTCTCCATATAATCTATCAATCGTGTGTAGTATGATGTTTCGAAAACTTTTGCAATTTGATTTTGTATGCAGATAGATCTATAATTTTTCATTTCGTTTATAGGACCTTTGTTCTTATAAACTGGAATGCATTTAGACTCTTTGATGGTAGGAAATATTCCAGACGTGAATGAATCATTTATTAGTTCACTTGATGGCTGGGCAATAAGTTTACTAGCAGCCTTCAGGACCTTACCATTTATGCCATCCATTCCTGCTGCAGGTTTAGATGTTGTTTTTGAGATGATTACCTGAACTTCTTCAGGTGTTACAGGAGTTAGGAAAAAACTTTTAATGAAATTTATCAAAATGTTGATCAAGATTTGGTTTAGGACTATTTTGAAAGGAATCTATAAAATAATCATTGTCGTTTTTTACACTTATAGAAGGGTTTACCTTATTGTTCTTATTTTCTTTAATGATTTTCCAACTTTCTCTCATTCTGTTGTTTGATTTAAGTAATCGTACATCGTGTTTATGTTATTGACGAATATTAAGAGTAGCGATCCCAACACTGACCTCTTTGGAACCCCGATATCCACGGGGACAGTTTCACAACATTAATTTTTTATTTGTACATAGGCCTTTCTTTCAGTACGATATGACTTCATTCTATTTCTTTCAAGTTGTAGGCTGTCAAATGCCAGCAACAAAATTGCCTGCATCAATATTATAATAGACACATTCCATGAATTCAATTGTTGCTCTTCACGTTGATCTCTCTGCACGGAGTCCGTTTTGTCGAGATGAGAGAATCATGAATCTTTCCTTTCCAGAAAGTCGACAATTCTAACGTAATAGGTACGTTCAAAAATTTTGGAAATAACGTTTAGTATTGTCACCTGTCTATAGTTGTCCGGTGAAGTACGTTCGTTTTTTTTTTTATGAATAGGTATCACTTTACCCATTTTTAAGTGGGACGGAAATACGCCTGTGTCGAATGTTGAGTTGATTAGATATAACAAGGGTTCAGCAATGGTTTTTTTCAGAGTTTTTAGTATTTTCACACGTATTTTGTCATTGCCAACTCATTTTATATTTTTCAGCTTGGAAATAGTTGAAAGCATTTCTTGACCACTAACAGTATAAGTAGAAACTATTGCTAATACTTTTTGTAGGCAATGTACATTCTGTTGATTTACTTTGACCGTCTTTGTATGTCTAGTTTTTCCTTCGTTATATTGGAAAAATGAAAATCAAAACTCACTGCTACTTCTGATCAACATTCACGTCATTGATTTTCAAACTATTATTCGTTTTGCTTTCCCTCCTACCTATTTCATTATAAATGATGTTCCATATGGTTTTTTGTTTTTACTTCTTGTGATTATCATCCGCCTATTATGTAATTAGTAGAAACATCAAATAAGAAATAAACCACTTCCACTTCCTGTTAAGGCATGAGAAAATAATACCGTTTCTTGGACTCGTTTATAGGGGTTCTGCGGTGTCATGCTTCAGTAATGGAGCGGAATGAGTATTTCACTAGTTCGGACTTCCATTGTCTAATATATAAAATGATTTGAAATCCCTGAGACACCTTAAAGAGAAGAATTAAATAATGAATACCTGTGATGACTCACCCTAAGACGATTGTAGATACCAACAATCGAAACGTCGTGAACTAATGTGGGTTGTAATCTTTTAACTTTGTATTTTCATTTTGATTTCTTCATTTTTATAAAATTTTTGTTAAATTGTTCTATTTTTAATTGTATTTTATTTCACTGTTATTTCATTTCAGGTTTTTGCTTGATATAATTTTTATTTTCAGCTATTCATTTTTTAATTCTTATCTTTTAGGTGTCTCGAGGATTTCATATCATTTTATATATTAGACAATGGAAGTCCGAACTAGTGAAATTCATCATGAAACATTGTCAATAACCTTCAAACAAACGGAATTTGGAGTATTATACCAGATAAAGACCATTCATTTTCATCTAGAACATTATATAGGTAATATCGTTGATATAGAATTGATTGCCATTCAAAAAGCACTATGTTTGAAAAAATATCAAAAATAGTATTATTTTCACTAACTCTCAAAGTGTCATTAACAAAATTGTAAGAAATAACATATTTGTTTCGAAATAGATCCTATAACCGCGAATATAAAATTAGTAATAGTTCACGCGCAATAATAATCAAATTTGCATGAATTTCTGAACATGGAGATATAGAAGGAAATGCAAAGGCAGACTGTCTGGCCAAAATAGAAATTTCATTGAATGTTCCAATTAATATTTTTGTATGTATAAAAAGTGATCCTTCCATATAACCGTTCGAAAATTTGACAAGAAAACCATAATCATTAGAAAATAGATATTATAACATGGTTCAGAACATATGCCAAAATTCATGGCGAATATTCATCAAAAGTATGGTAGTTTTCAGTCCTATTTGTAGAACGTAGACACATCGCTACAATCATTAACCCTGCTACCGCACACTTATTTTTCAAGACACAAATTGCACATTGGGGTCTCAAAAACCCAATAAATGAAATGGAGTTTTTTCAAGTTGGTAATATTTTTTTATTGTTTTTACACATGGAATTGTTGAAGTGGTTATTTTAGAGAGTATACAACATATTGAAAAGTAGTTTAAACAAATATTCCATTCTTGATAATATCAAATTGAAAAAAAGGAAAAAAANGGAACTATAGATGACCACAAGTGGTTATTTTTACCTCTTAGGACGCTTTTATTTCTCGTTTCTCTTGGACGCCTTTCTTGTTCATTCTCACGAGCATTGTTTTGTTCACTGCTATTTCCACTAGCTTGTTCACTGTTATTCTCACCAGCTTGTTCACTTTCATTTTCACTGTATTCTTCATTTTCATTGTCACTGTTTTGTTCATTTCCACCACCCTGTTCACTTTCACAAGCACTTTGTTCATCGTCTTCCTCATCTTCCTCCATCTCATAATCGTTTTCGCTATCCGAAAATTCTCCAATTTCATATCCATTTTCATGATCTGGATTGCTCCAAAGATTATCTACAATCTCCTGCAGTTCCTCCTCTGTTAGCGGACGAGTATCGTTTCTTTTATGCCTCGACATCTTCCTTCAAAATGATAGATAATAAAATTTCTAATAGAAAGTATGTAACTTAATCCTGCACACTGGGGTCTCAGTAACCCAGGAGCAGCTAAAATCAAAATTTACCACTTACCTAGGAGCGATAAAATATTGTGCGTCCTGCCTCACTCGTATACAACTGTTAACTGAATTTACATGGCGCTGGCCCAAGGTCACGATCGAAAGCCTGCTTACAAGGTAGAATATAAAGGGCACGTGGGTTTTCTAGACCCCAGTGTGCAGTAGCAGGGTTAAAATCAAACACCGGACATTGCCTTACGAAGGAACATATAATAGGAGTTGAAAAATCTTTATACATACCACAATTGTGATAAAATTGAATAGCTCAACCATACTTATATTTTTTGAATCTCATATCAATACTACAACTAATTTTTATATACATCGGTTCATTTCGGATTAGAACCAATACTATATAATTTTCCAACATCCAACCACATTAATTTATAAAATCCCTACTTTTAGTTAAAGTTTCCTTTTCTTGGGTCTTAACCGAAGCAGGGGTTATGGGATGCTGCGCCGCTGCTACGAAGCGAGAAAGGCCTATACCTTACTTAAATGTACCAAACCTTTACACCACAACACTAGAAAAAAAAATTAACTGAGAGGAAATCGTATGGGCTACAATATGATTATTAAGAATCAGAAAAAGTTATAATCCTCCTAATGAGCTGACAGATGCACCATAAGGGAGCAGAGTCAAAAAGAGAAAAAAAAAATAAGAAGAAAACCTTCTAACCTAACTAACCTCGAATCAGATTAGAATTTATTTGTACAACTATGAAATTTAGAGCTTTGATTGTCGATCCTGCCGCTATGCGAGATTTTATGAGTATGTTTTCGAAGTACTAAATAGTTCGCTAAAATGAATGATGCCTTTTCAGATATAACATTGAGTTTATCGAAGTTTTCGAAAGATTGTGTCATGAGGATAACAACAAGAAGGGTATACTTTATTATTTCAGAGGAAGATTGTGGCCCTAGAAGACCATTAGTCTGGTGTGAATTGCCTGTAAATTTTTATTTCAAAGAATTCAATGTTGTTGGTGTCAATACTGAATATAATGAAATATATTTGGAGTTCTCCACAGGTAAATAGATATGTAGTTCATAGCTACAGCTAGGGATCTGTAGTAATTTTGACAGGACCCGGGGACCGTAGAAGATAGATTTATTTATATATTTGGTGAATATATATGTGTATATATACATACAAAATCGAGGAAGGTTAATGCAGTCAAGCTGCTGGAAAATAATTCCATGAAAATTCCCAAATTTCTGCCACCGCAGTTGTCGGTTGATTGGTCAAACCACCAACACTGACATAAAAACTTGGCAAGTTGACTTGGGTGTCACACCAATAGGTGTACCGGGCAGGCGGTCCTCGATTGAAGACAAAATATGAAAAAACCAAGAAAGTACTTGATAAAAATAGCTGCGTAAACGCAAGCGAAACATAAGTGGAACCACCTATTGGTGTGACANGGTTGAAAATGGAACCAACTTTAGCCTCTTTTAGTATTTATCATTCTCAAACGAATTGAAATGAAACTTTTGTTATGATATATCGGTTTTTGTTTCCCTTCAATAATATTGTTGCATATTCAACACATATTTGGGACTTGAGCTTTCTCAACATTTTTCTTATTGAAATTTTGAAAACTTTCCGAGAAAATTGAACAGTTTGATTTTAATAGTTCAAAAAATGAAAGGACAATACTGGAAAGTGATTTGACTCATTTCCAGCATATACTCAGAGATACGGATGATATTAAAAAGAGCTCAAAATATAAATAAAATTAATTGCAATATTTTTTAATATGGGGTGATTTTTTCGAAAGGAGCCACGTTTAATATCTTCAAAAATAAGACAGTGATGTAAATTTCCCGAAACACGTATCTTTTCATGAAATATCATGAGGTATCGTTAAGATGCGTATCACTCACTCCTCTACACACCTCCCTCCAAAATATCAAATAAAATAACTCCATATGTGACACCTATCGGGTAGGTGATTTTGTCAGGAATTCAACGATGATTTTTCAGGGTTGATTTCTGATTTACTCTGAAGAAGGACTCTTGAAGTATAAGTGAACGACCCTCACAAAAACGTATATAACAGTTATTTCCATTGTCAAACTTTTAACAGAAAACAACTTTTGTTTCGTATCACCGTTGAATTATATCTGTTGGATTTTTGGCAAAGTTTCTCACAAGAAACACTTGAAAATACTTTCTAAAACACACCGCCAAAAATGTTTCACTAAACAGTTTTACAAAAACGCAATACGTGTTTCGTTATACAATGGCTTCTTCGGGCGTATCTTTACTAACTATATTCTACATATTCAATGCTTAATATACCTGATTTTACAATTTGAAATACCTACATTTCAAGTACCTGAGTTTTACCTGAGTTTGTAATGAATTAAATCACCTGAGCTTTTGTCCCAGTTTCCACATTTGAAAAAATATTTAGTAACAAAGAGTTATTCAATTCTAATTGATTCAGTAAATTACCAGAATTCTTGAATCTATTGATTTCTAAACATTCTAGAAGATTGAGTTTCAAACTCTTCTCTTCTAAATGTTAACACGTCGTATTCATGACTGTACTCATGTCCTTCTGCTGAAAGGTGGTTTGTAAATGTGGAATTGGTCTTTCTATTTACAAAATTACTTTTATGGTCTTCAATTCTTTCAGAAAATGTTCTCCCTCTTTGGTCAATATACAGTCAATATACAATATACAAAAAACGGGCAATATTATTGGTTGGTTCAGCCAAATATGACAATGTCCTATAACTGACGTTATCGCATCTTAAATTTGGGTAGACCTGGTCCATGGCTTGCTTTTGTAGTTTTCTGGAAAGAATGGAGTCTATAATATCTACCTTATAACCGTTGTTGACCGCGATTTGTTTGATCAAATTCAGCTCCCTCTAGAAATTACTCTCAGATAGTGGAATATTCAATAGTCTATGAAGCATACTACTGAATGCAGCAACTTTATGATGGTAAGGGTACGTGGAGGAATTATGTATGATAATGTCCGTGGTAGATGGTTTGGGGAAAATGGCAAATTCATGATTATTGTTATTTTTCGTAATCGTAAAGTCAAGGTAATTTTTTGAATCATCTACCTTCCTCTCAATGGTGAATTTTATTGACGGGTGGATGGAACTGACATATTCAACGAACTTGCCTAATTGCTTATATGTAATTTCATTATTCACTAGTGATTATTGGATATCGTAATGCTGGAAGAAACACTTACTTGCATTATGAATATTATATAATAGTTGTAGACAAACTGTAATTTCTATTTGAATTGATTCATTACATTGTAATTTCATTTCACGTTTCATTGCCTAATATAACTGATATTTTCAGCTATTCATTTTTATTTAATTCGTTCTTTCAGATATTTTAAATTATTTTGAAATCATATTATACCTACCGAACTAGTAAAGTTCATTTATTATGTACATTGAAATTTTATTACTCATTGAACCTTATTGAAGACTATTGTTTTCGGGAAAGAAAGTTTTTGGCTTTCTACTACTCCATCTGATACAAAAAAATGGATGAGAGAATCTTCCAAAGAAAGAAAGGAAGTAATCAATTTGAAAATAAGTAACTCTATACATGGATGTGTAGATCATGCAAAGAAGTAACTTTCAGACACAAACTGAAAGAGAGTCCTCCTGAAACAGCTACTTTCATATAAACATTGAATTACACGAAAGAAAAAAAATTCTTTCGAAACAAATACTTCTATATGAACACTGAATTATACAGAAGATACTTTTCTCTATTCAGTTTGTATATCGAACAGTGAGTACAATTTATTACCATTCATTCATGAAATCGTACGAGGATTGATGTCAAAAAATTCTTGAAGATTGAGTTTCAAACTCTTCTCGTCTAAATGTTGCATGTCGTATTCATGACTACTCATATCCTTCTGCTAAAAGGTGGTTTGCAAATGTGGCATTGGTCTTTCTATTTACCAAACTACTTCTATTCTCTTCAATTCTTTCGGAAAATGTTCTCCCTGTTTGGCCAATACACAGTTTTGGGCAAGAGCCACAATTCAGCTTATATACTTCTGATCTATCCGACATCGAAGTTTTGTCTTTATTGTTTTTAATATCACGTTTCGAATTTGGGTAGACCTGGTCTATGACTTACCTTTGTAGTTTTCTGGAAAGAATGGAGTCAATAATATCTATCTTACAACCGTTGTTGACCGCGATCTGTTTGATCAAACTCAGCTTCCTCTGGATTTTACTCTCAGATAGTGGAATATTCAATAGTCTATGAAGCATACTATTGAATGCAGCAACTTCATGCTGATAAGGGTGTGTGGAAGAATTATGTATGATAATGTCCGTGTAAGATGGTTTGGGGAAAATTGCAAATTCATGGTTATTGTTATTTTTGTAATGGTTATATCAACGTAATTTATTGAATCATTTACCTTCCTCTCAGTGGTGAATTTTATTGACGGGTGGATTGAATTGAGATATTCAACGAACTTGCCTAATTGCCTACCTGTAATGACTCCAATATTCACTAGTGATTAATGGATATCGTAATGCTTAAAGACACACATGCATTATGAATATTCTATATAATGGTCGTGGACAAACTGTAATTTCTATTTGAATTGAAAACATTCGATGAGCTTCCGTGAAGCATCATATTTGGCCTAATACTTGCTACTTTCTATAGAAACACAAACACATTCAATAAATTGATGGATGTAGCCGTTACTACGTGGTAGGAGATCATAATGAAAAGAGAAATGAAAATTTCTATGTTTTTCATCACTTTTAATTGTAACTAACGTTACTGCAGTTTCTTTCTATAGTGACATTCTCAAACTAATACAATAAACTTTTTTTATTGTTCATTCCCATATTGATTTCAATTTAGGAGCCACCGGTAGACAGCTGTTTCAGCCTATTGGGCATCGTCAGAACCGGGCAGGCGGTCCTCGATTGAAGACAAAATGTGAAAAACCAGACAATACTTGATAAAAATAGTTGCGTGAATGCAAGTGAATCAAGTGGAACCACCTATTGGTGTGACACCCAAGTCAACTTGCGTTCACGCAGCTATTTTTATCAAGTACTTTTCTGGTTTTTCACATTTTGTCTTCAATCGAGGACCGCCTGCCCGGTACTGACGATGGCCAATAGGCTGAAACAGCTGTCTACCGGTGGCAAAAATTATTTGTGTTTTAATACAATTGTTAATGACAAAACACAAGCACTGCAGAAAATCTTCAAGGCGCTCTCAGAGCGGTTCCTGTGGGAAAGTAGCGATTCGTATTGGATTTGAATCTCTAGAGATTGAATCCATTTGAAAAAACGTTCTCAGGAAGTTTATTCCACATAAACGCAGTTCTCCAGATGAAAGAGTTCTTAAACAGTGAAGTTCGAGGTGTACTGAGTTGAACCTCAAAACGATGAGCAGCAACATTCCGTCGCGTATGTCTTATATGGACCGCTCTTGGTTGAATCAAATGTGCCAAGTCACTTGAACCCTTCCCCTGAAAGTATTTATAGAATAGAGAGACAAATCTCCAACCCTTCTTAGATGTTCCTGAGCTTTATAAAGCATCAAAAGTTTCTTAGGTGTGTACAGTTTTCTGGTTCAGAACAGTGTTCTCAGCTTTTGAGAAGCAGCCTTTGCAATTCCAGCGACATATTTGTGCCAAGCCATAGTGTCCATTTTAACCCCCAACAAACTTATCGAAGCAGAAAGGGGAATTGACCTGACATTATATCCGGTTCGGAGACATTTATCTTCTTGAAGGAAACCGATGCCTGGATTTTTGTGGCTTCGAATTGAATCTGGTTACTTTCATCACTTCTAGATCCTCATTAAGATATGTAGCCTCCTGCTGCCGGTGAAGACGTGCCTCCGTAGTCGATGTCCTGGAATCCGAATGGAATGACGAGATAAGTGTGTTGTCGTCAGCAAACCAATATATCATCAATTTCATCAATTTCATCAATAGTTCGATTGTTTTTCGTTATAATATGCAAAGAATACTTTCTAAACATAAAGGTCGATATG